TCTCCTATAAGAAGCCTAATCTTTCAAGAAGAAGATTGCGCAACTATACATATTGTATTCAAAGTCTATCTACTTCTTAGTTCAAACACTGTAATCCTTAGTTATCAGTGTCTCAAAAGAGAGGGAGATCTACAACATAAAAGAGAGTTGTGTCAACTATTTTGAACTCAGTATTGATACTGTTTATTGGTGGTGAACGCATTAAAAACCATCTGTGTTGTAACTTTGTCCAAAGATCTTAAGGGAACCCTTGTGGCCCAAGGAAAAATGGATGTAAGTACCACAACGGTACCGAACCAGTATAAATCGCTGTGTATTATTTACTTTTATTTACTGCTTACATTCATTCTGTGTTGTGGTTAGTCAACTAATACTTGTGTTAGTCGAATAAATTTTAAATAGTCAACAATTCACCCCCTCTTGTACCTTCAGAACTGGCCTATATTTCTCAAGGGTCACTTGATATAGCATTTTTTCAATAAAATAATACAATTGTGGGATGAAATTGTCTCCATCTCAGTTGGTAGGGCAATGGTTTGTACCTGTGGGGCCAAATCAGCTGAGGATGAGGAACAAAGAGCTTATCAATTCCTTATGGGTCTAAATGTAACTTATATTCAAACTAGGAGTAACATTTTAAGGATGAAGCCTCTTCCTTCTGTTGGTACAGTATACAATATTCTTTTGTCTTATGAGAAGCATAGGTAGGTATCTGTTGGGACTCAGTTTCCCTCTAATTCTGCTTCCTTCACTGTTGGTATATTGAAGTTTACATCAACACATAATACTACAGTGTCAATGCCTAATTTTCCTTTTAAATTTTCCTTTGAGTCTACTAGGTTTTCTGGGGTATGCAAATATTGTAAAATCTGGTCACAACATTGACAAGTGTTATAAGCTGCATGGCTTTCCCTCCAATTTCAAACCTGCAAAGAATTTGGGCCCTAAAAGATCAACTGCTCATGTTGATCTTGAATCCAACACAATGCATGGTATTCCTACTATGGAGTGTGGTGCTGATGTGTCTCAGTCTTAGAGTCCATCTGCAGTGCCTGGCCTTACCAAGGACCAGTATTCCCAACTGATAATGTTACTTCAGCAGCAAGCCCAAATCATTGCTTCCCCTCCTGGTTCCAGCCTCATAGGGTCTGCCAATTTTGCTGGTATGTTGCCTCCCCCACCTCCCC